TTTCAAGACTTTTGATGTCTATACAATGAGTCTCTTCGTTATCTGTTTACATTCTCTGAGAACGACTTCGTCCATTGGTATATACTCGTGTTTACTGAGCGCATTCCAACTCGTTTTTAATACCGTAGAGCAGATTCGATCAGATGAACTTGTATTTTCGAAGCACAGAATATACAATTATACTATATTTACGTATATCTGATATTGTTGAATTTTCGACGTATTCAACAAAACTTTGTTAACCACGAAAATGTTACTACAAGTAAAAGCTAGGGATGTCATTTTCCTGTTACTTTAAAATAAATACAAATAATTTCTTTTTTGATAATTTGCATTTAAAAATAAATTTGAATGATAACCATTTATATTGAAAAAATAAAAATTATTTCTAACTAAATTTATTTATCATTTAAATCATCACATAATAAATTTATTTTACATAAAATTTATTTTTTTCATATCTATCTTTAAATATAAATGTTTTCTAGAATCTATATATAAAAATGTGAATTATGAAAAAAATTATTTTTTATTCAATAAATTCGTAAATTAAAATATAAGAATAAATTGACATCCCTTAGTCATTGCCATGGCACTTATACAATTAATTTCAAAAAGAAACAAATAAAAAAAGAATAATTTAAGGGTGGGTGTGAATGATAGAAGACTGACTTTCACTCCCAAATCACACCCCACACCCCACACCCACACCTACCATTTTTCAAACGTAATCTGAACCAAATCAAATCTAATTGAACTTATGTGATTCGTTTTGGTCTCTGGTTCTTAATACAAAGTAAAAGAGATGAGTTATTTATAAACTTCTATGGATAAAAAAAATTAATAAAACTTATTGTGAAGTGAGAATTTATATGAAAGAGAAGAGAAAAGAAAAAGTTGAGAATAATCTTCTTTGTTAAATGATTACACGAATGTTCTTGAAAATATTCTTAAATTAGTTGGGATGATTGAAAGAAGCTGCCTATATATAACGATCGAAAACTAATCTTCGTTTGTATGAGTATTAAGCAATAAATATTTCTGTTGAAATTAATCAAAGGTTTATGACACAAATCAATCATTGTAATAGATTACATAATTTAATAAGATACAGTTCGACTGAACAATAAGAGATTAACAAGTTCATTTTTTGTTGATCTAATCTAATAAACCAATTATTAATGGGTCAGAAAAATGTCTTCTAGCATATTATAAAATTTTAGAAATATTTTTGTTTTGGTGAAAATATCTGCAAATCCGTAGTTAGTTTCGACCAATTACAAATCTCAAAATAATCGACAATTTATGACGATACATCTGCGTTACTCACAAAATCGGCTGTTTTTTTTTTGTTGAAATCGCAATTAATCATTAACTTGTATGAAAATCGCGATAAATCATCAAAACTTAGGTGATTTTGATGACATGAAAACAGCTTAGATTTAATAGAAAACAATACTATAACGTTCGCCTAATGGCTCTATCCTATTAATCTCTCATGAACAATTGTATATCGAAAGATAGAATGAAAGACATATTCTTAGGAAAAAAAATGAGCGCTTTTCGAAATCTAAGCAAAATCGATATTTGTCAAGTTTAGTATTGTTATTTTTCTTTCATGAATGTTTTTTTTTTGACAAATGTTAATCATCTCTTTTAGTATGTTCAAGCAAGTTTTTAATCATCAATCAATGTAATAGATAATTATAGAAAATACATTCTTAATTTTTACATCTCGTGTCATAAGTAAAGAAAATGTAAGTGGTGTAAAATCATTCTATCATCTACGTATGTAATCAAAGAATAAATTACATTTATTATAATGAAAAAATTATACAAAACAAAATTTCGAATTTTTAGTATATAATATTTTCTTTTTTGTTCGTTGAGACAATTCTCATTGATCTTTATTTGTTATGAAATTATCTTCTTAATGTTAAATGAACTAAGAAGGTGATTCTTTTCTAAAAAGTTTATTTGCTGATTGAAGTAAAATTTCAACACGATTTTTCATGTTAATATATTTGAAAATAGAGCATCGACAACTAATTAGTCAAGATCAGATATATGTCATTTTTTACTAATGTATGTCAATAAAATAAATCATTAAAGAGATTATTATCTTATGGGAGCTAATAAAAAAAGCCATCTGCATGTTGTCTTCCTCTTTTCACACACAACAGGTATGTGTCCTTCAACTCTATATAATACAGAAATGTATATTAAAGTCACATTAAGTATAAATGTCTTTAGAGTACGAAATATTAATGAAGAAATAAATCATTGATAAATTTTGACAGGTAACAAATAAATGAAAGTTATGTACTTACATAATATTCTGCCCGATGTTTTCTTTTTTATCAAGCGTTGCAATGAATATGAGTATGAATATGATTGAAAAGCCTTCTGAAAAGGATCATGTTATTTTCTTGCAAGTCTATGCACGGTTTTGATCGATAAATAATTCTTAGAATCAATCAATTGATAAAGATGATATCGATATTATATTAATACATTGTCAATCACTTCTTGTACATACTTGCACATCAATAATGTTCATTGTTCGTGGAGACAAAATGAAAAAAAAAAATGAAGCAAGTCATTTTCTCCAGTACGTGAACGATATTGTTTTCAATTAAACATATATTATTTTTTCGCATGTTATCACTTATTTTCATATTTCTATGTCAAACGGAGTATTATCAACAATCAACAGAACTATAAGAAATTTATTCAACCTTGATAAAAATTGTATGGAAAAATTTTTAAAGATAAAATAAAGAAACTTGGTGTTTATTTAGTATTTAATCATTTTTCTATTGATTTTCGAGGTTATCCTGCACATTCCTCCTATACGATTCAGTTATTACAATTTTTTGATTAGAATATGATACATCTTGCAGGAAAAGCTTGAAGAACATCAGCGTTGGAGATTCTTTTTTTTGTAATGAAAAATTTACAAGAAAATATATTCAACTATCAAACGATATTCAATCCTATATATTGATTATGAGTAGGTTTTGATGAGATTGAAACAAGAATGTAAGTGTTACTCGTCTCATTACCCATACCCAATTCACATCATTTTCTGATAATATAAATTGCATCACTTTCGATGATGATTTTTGCCAAAAACGAAGATACAATAATTTCAATAGTTCTCTAAGAAAAGTTGACTTTCAAATATATTCAGTCACAAATTTTTAATGTGATCAAAATATTCATGATGTTACATACATATGTTCACACTTAATTCATGATAAGATGTGGATGTTCATATGAGTTATGTTAGTTTTAAACATTGTTAGTTTATTACTAGTAATTTCCCTTAAGAGTTATTATACTATACAGATAGACAAGAAGTTATGATATAATTCTTTAATTGAATAAGCACTTCAAATCATTGAAGTTTATTTCAAATAGAAATACAATTATCGTCATTAATAAACTTATATATCTTAAGAATATATTGATATTTATGAACAACAAGAAAGGAATACAACTGATAAATATCAACATACTCATCGTATCTGTATTAGACAGAAAATATTTTTGTTTTTTCAAACTTTATAGAGTCTCATACATTTTTAAAAGTCTTTCTTTTCTTCTATATTCTAACAACAAAACATGATTCTATCTAATTTATATTGCGTTTGTTGAAGAACATCTAATTGAAATTAAATGATGAAAAAAAATAACATATTTTATGTGGTCTTGATCAAAATTTCGAATTTGTAGTTCCCATGATTACCAAAGAACTTTTTCAAAATGTCAATCAGATTCGATTTTTCTTAAACAATCATTTATTTATAATGAAAAACAAAGAATTAATGTAACGTTGACATTCATTTGATACGAAATCTGAAAAGTTTTTATAAATTGATAGAGATAATATGAGTAGATGAAATAATCGAAGAAATGAATTGATGATTCTAATGTAACAAAACTACTAAAACTAAACATAATGAAATCAATTAATATCAAAATTTTAATCAAATGATTTATAATTAGGATGTGGGTGGATGTACGTGTCTCGTTGACCCCGAACCCACATCCACATTCACACCCATAACCTTCATTACGATAGTAACAGTGACTGGATATCTAGTGCAGTGCTTTTTACTTCTTTTTACTTGAAAACAGTGGCTAAATGCCTACTAGAGTTGCTTTTCCAGTATTGATCATTTATATAAACGTTATTTGATGGAATATTTTTGCTAGAACAGAATTTCTGTCCGAAAAATCAGCAGTTGATCAGCAAAGTAAATTTTTCTCTATAAAAAAAAATTAAATGAATAAAAAAATGAAACTGTGTAATATAACGACTAAAAATCAGATTAAAACTGATTTTTTCGAAGAAAATCACAAAAAATCGATTACTAGGCATGTATTGAGCTTGAATCTCTCGATTTTCGGTGGCTTTGGTCTTGGTCTCAATCATAGGCAGTTCCTTTATTAGTGTTAGATTTAACGTCTGGAATTCCATGTGGATATCAGAATGGTCTCTCATGAATTTCCTCCCAAAGAATTCCATTTCTACATTGTTTTTCAGCTATCCATTTAATCAGATTTTACATACGATTTTTTCAGCTCTAACCTATCTTGAGATTAGGCATGTGATATGAGCAATATCATCAACACTAATACCATTCAGTGTTCACAGTATTGCTTTAGTCAGAATATACTTTTTTTGAGAAAACAACGATATTTTATAAAACTTGAGTAAAGATCTTCAAGGTTAGGAAACTCAATGAGACCTTCATTTTTCGAAAATTTTCAAAAACGGATGTACCCAATCGATTCTTCTACTTCGAAAGTCTTTAATCACATTTTATAAGGGAAACTCTAATACTTGTTTGTGCTGAAAGCACTGAATTAATTAAATTTACTAAAGATGGCATCTGACATAGAGACGCATCATAGCAGACATATGACGGAAGTCGATAGTTCCATAGATCAAAGATATCGTTTGGATTGTTTCTGTAAAGAAATGTAACATGTCAAAACAAAACGAGAACTCCCGAAAATTGAAACAGTTGAAGACAATGATGTGTTATATTCAATTTTGTTTTACAATCTTCAAGATCAGTAAGACAAACCATGGTATCACGACATATAGTAGATATATCCGATGTTGATTGAATTATCGCTATTTTCAATAGTAAATCTCTTTTATTGACACATTTAGTTGTATAAGTATTGTATGAACCAACACCACAAATCACATCTACATCTTCCAATGTAGTTCGCGGTTGACATATTAAATCTTCGCAACGGAATGACGGATCATAAGCACAAAAATGAGTATGACTCAACATAATAGTTTCATCTGTACCATCTAAACAGTCAGGATTAAGTAGATTATTCCATAAGAATTCTTCTAAAATACATTGACCGTTATGGCATCGATATTCATGATCGTTACATTCATTAATTTCAAGTTGATCACAATTTTGTTCATCGATTCCTCCATCGATACAATCGACTTTACCATCACAGATTTCTCGCCAATCGAGACATGACGGAAATGGTCCACCTCGATTACATTTCAAGTACACATAACACGAAAGATTGCTAAAAATTGTAAGCATTTCAATCATTACAGTATAGTAATATTTTTTGTTGTTGAAAAGTACTTCTAATTATGTCAGAAAATGACAAAGACTTGTTCTTAAAATGAAATGAATATTGACAAAAAGGATTAAACCACCCCGACGTACAGTTGTAAAATACTCCATGACATAATAAATCATTCTCATTTAAATAGATTTCGTATTGTTCTGCAAGATCAATGGACGCCGGCCAAGAATACAATGGATTACTAGTCACATTCATCATTCGTAGTTGTTCAAATGTAAAATTCTTATTCAATGCATTGAAAGAATGCTGTATATCATATTGAAATTTTTTCGATGGTCGAAAACAGTAGAGAATGATTTGATGAGCAAACGGATGAATTTTTAGATCACCATCACTGATATTAGATCTTATTTCGTACGGAATTATGTCATCTTTAACGTAATAATGCAAACAATCATACATTGACTGTTCAAAATCTTCTGTTGAATGATCATTTTTCATATAATATACGTTAAATTGTTGAAATAAAGCTAATTGAATTATTAACAGCAATAATAAATTGAACAACATGAGTCGAGATCCAACGCTTACTACGTTGTTTATGAATATTTGAACACTGCCTATATATAAATTATAGTGTAGCAGAAAATATTCATCAATCATTAAATGCATAAATCAATACAGCGCTTTGTCCTAATTTAGTTGGGCATGATTAACATCCAAAGTCAGATATCATGACTAGTGCCCGGCGTAACTGCCGTGACTACCAGTGAGTCACGGTCACAGCTGTGACCGTGACCGTGACTGAAGCTTGGTCACAGTCAGTCACAGAAACTTTTTCCGAAATTTTGGAAACCCCTGAGGAAGAGTAGGAGGCCTTCGCAAAGCTATCCATCACTCCTTCCGATCATCGGTTTTTATGAAAAATTGGGAAGTTTGTAGTATTCGTGATTTTGGAAGTCCCTCTAGAGGAACTTTCGCTGGACTGCGATTCGACCTATATTTCCTATAATTCTTATATTTTTGAAAAAGACCTATTTTTGTCCTATGTTTCAATAAAAACTCTTATTTTTCCTATACCTTATCGAAAAAAAGAGAACATTTTCGAAAAATTATAAGTTTTGCTTTTGTTCTATTATAGTGTTCAGACGTTGGACAACATATATAGTGTGTGGTCACATGTTTTGAACAAATTCCGACATTATGATGACATTTTTAAATAGTGTTGTTCAGTACTGAATGCGCTAGTGGTTTTTAGCTTTAAAGATTGGTTTTAACTGATATTCGCCTTTTATGTTCCATCAGCATAAGCTTTCCAATTGACACTGTTTTTCGAAAATTGATTAAGAAACACATGAAACAATGAAAATTTATCTTTAGAATTTGGAAAATTAGACTTATATTGTATTCAATTAGTGTCACTTAAAAAGGATTGTTCAGTTGAAAACAAATCAAATTAAGTTAGATCTTTTCTATTTTCTTGCATGAAAAAAAATTAAGTCTTTCCTGGGCGAGGCCAAGTGACAATTTTTGTGGTTTAGTATTTTTTCGAAATTTTATGGACTGTATTCTTTATGATCAGATGAGAACAGAGTTTTTCATCCTATTGTGTTTGTAATATTTTAGTACTTATTAATTGCTGATGTTCCTAGAAAAATGGCTTTGGATCTGAATCAAATTCCAGAGAACAAAAGGACCAAGAGATTTCGTAGTAGAGTAAATATGACCCTTGCATGAGGATGTGTCTTTTTTTAAAGAAGTGTTGATCTATCATTTGTGACTTTCATGCGACTTTACTCTGAATTTAATGCTGTACCGAATGGTTTATTAAATAACTGAGAAACTATCTTAATATTATAGTCTATGACTCTTCTGAAAAATACCGAAATTGAAAGTTGCGAAATCAAGGGAAAGTTTAACCAATTCAGCTAAAATATTCAGGAATGATTACTATCATTGTGTTGAACGTTTGCTAAAAGTTTCACATGGATGTAATTTCAGCTTCTAATTGGGCCGAATTGTCAAGAAGAGGTTCCCGGTCTTTTAATCATGACAAATAATATTTGAGTTTTCTTCGTTTTATCTTTTCAAAGTTTATTGTATCCTTTTTTCAATATTCATTGATTAGTGAAAAAGGTTCTAAAACTTTAATTAAAGTTCCTAACGATATTTGATTTAACTATTCATTTCAGTAGAAATGAATCAGATAAAAATCCTGATGGCGAGTCCCCTGTTCTTGCTTGTTTCGTTAGAAAGATATCAAGTGAAGAAGTTAACAAAACCAGAAAAATTGAGCAGAAACAATGTATAATAAATCCTATATTTTCGTCATTTTTTATCGAAAACTCTATATTTTAGACAAACTTGATCCTTTAAGGATTCCTATTTTTTTTAAAAATTCGCAATCGGAGGCCAGAGCTTTCTGGCAAGCTTTTTCATCTTGAGGAACCAAAAAGATGGGCCGTGACTCACGGTCACGGTCACGGCCTGGACTCACCGTGACCATGACCGTGACAAAAAAAGTTGGTCACGCCGGGCACTAGCATCTACACCCACACCCACACCCACTCACACCACATCCACATCTCACACCAACACCTATCCCCTATAGTTTATAGATGACTATTTTAAGCGAGCTAATCATATAACAAAAGATAAGATTTATGTATTTACCTAACGAAATAAACAGTATTTTGTATATCAATGGTGTATAGCATTCGCACGTGCATCAAAAGCAAAGTATCGTTCTTTATCGTTCTTTCGACTATTACTGCTGTTATAGCTTTATTTAGACAATAGTGTCTATTGACACATATGTATAATATTTAATTAGAGTTGCCACCTCAAAAAGTTTGAAAAAACCAAAAACCTCTTTAAAAAAATATGAAAAAACCAAAAACCAAAAAAAACACCGGAAACTAATATCGTTACTGGCGTCTAGCATTTCTAAGAATTTTAACGTGTTTTTCTATCTATGGATACGGTGTTTTATCTTTACAAAGTTTCAAAACATAAAAGAAAAACATGAAAGAAATAGCAACTTTATTCTACACGTTGTTTTACGAAGGAATAATTGTTATTAGAACTAATTGCTCTTGTTTTATATGAAAAAGCGGAAGAGAAACAACCTTGTATGTAATGGATATTAATGCCGGAGTTAATCAATACGGAATTTATTACATGAGTGTCAACACATTCATTTCTATGATTGAAAAAAATCGATGCGTTTTGTATGGCGATAAGAAACCAAAACGGCATAGAATAGCAACAACTTTTTTTAAAAACAAATTTAAACTTTACAATTATGTCATAAAGAATATTGTGTTGTTTTTAAGAGAAGAAAACTCTCGATTCTGCAAATTCATCGTTTAGTATTCACACTTTCTGTTAATTAATTGAATTGAGTACAATCATCAAAAATAGTAACAAAAAGAACAATATTAATAGAGTCATGAGGTACAATAGATTTTTGCAATTAAAAATTTTTGATCAGTAAAAAAGCAATGGTTTAAAGAAAATAGACACGAATTAAGACTAAAAATATTCTGTTTTTACAGTATAAATTGAACAATCAACTAGTTTTAATGAGATATGATGATGAATTATTCCATATATGTGACATTTATTACTTAAATGATTATTATCTGTTGAACTTCTCTGAGAGGTATAATGCAAATTATATGCATATTTGTTATTTCATGTATATTTTGTAGATATAAGTATTTTTCGAGTATTCCTATTCTAATCAAAAAGAAGAACTTTAAGTCTGTCATACACGTAGATTGTACTGTAAAATCGATGAATAATTTTATGAACTTCTTTTAGATGACATCTACTTACAAGACTTTTTTAAGAGAAGGTCAATTACTGTGAAAAAAATAATCATTTCAATATGTACTTGCTTTATGAGCATCGATTCCATACTAAAATGAGAAAGAATCTGTTTATTTTTGCATTGGGTTCTTGATTTTATTATCATTAGATTGAATGAAAAAATTGTGGATTTAATTTCAAAAAACCATATTCAAAAAAATAAGGACCTGCTAAAAGATTGTTTTCTTTGTTGAAGATAACGTAATTATTGCTTCGCAAGAGTTCGAAGAAACCATGAACCAAAGTGACATTTATTGGATGTAGTTCAACAAGAATTTGTCGTGGAAATAAACTCTTAGTCGAATTGAATAGAAGAGGAAAGAATGAATATTCACCACCTTCAATATCAATTTTAAGTATATCAATAGATCGATTCGTATGATTCAATCTTTGCAAAATAGTCATCCAACTTTTTGAACCATTCGGTTCAATTCCAGTTCCGAACATGAGTTGATGAAAACTACATGCTTTATTTGGACATGAATATAGATTTTTATCGAATGTATGAATTTCACATTGAGGTATGGTTTTTTTCATGTCGATCTCGAATGTAAAATCACCACGTGATCCAACACTATAAATTAGACAATCATGACGGGCTTTCAATCGATGAACATCACAGACCCATTTGCCACCATCTCCCATAGCGCCCATACGTCGAGCATGTGAACAATGAAAATTCGGTTCCCAATTTGACAAAAAATATACAGCATCTTCACGCTTCATCATATTTTCTTTATCTTGAATACGATAGATGTGTTTACGTTCATTCCAGGCAGCATTTGATTCACAAATAAGTCCATCACTTTCTAAGAAAGACTGCTGGCAATCACTACTATTTTGTGAAACAAACGATAGTGAAACAGTTGGCTGTAAAACAGTCGACTGTGAGCATGATTGATAAAACCATATCGATAGAATGGATAATAGAAATATGACTGCTAATTGCACAATTTGTGGAAACAAGAATGTAGACATTAATTAAGACCAGTGAAAATTATGGAAGAGTTAAGTTCATGAATACCAATAATACATGACGTTGAAGATAAAAATGAACAATAATAGTGTTTATATTTTATGGATTAATTATCATCTGTCATTATTCTAGTAGGAATAGACAGAAAATACGTTAGCAATACGGTGAAAG